ATACTGACATGTGCTTCGTGACTTCTCTTACCAAAGTTGGATAAACTTTTTTTCCTTTTTTTTTTTTTTTCCTTTTTTTCTTTTTTTTTTCTTTGGGTCTAAATAGTGATTTGCCCAATTGCAGTGATTCCCTTTTGAAAAGAGAAACATCTGGGACAAATGAAGACGACTAGGGAAGCCAAATACTGTTTAGAGCTTGGTTCAGTAGTTGCTCATGGTTTCACAAAAACTGGAGAGATATTTGGTTCATTCATTGGGTTATTTGGCAAATTGACATTTGTCTGGGTTCTTGTGGTCCAAAAAGCCCACGGCAAATAGAATCAAAATGTGAGGTTTTGTTTTCAGTCCTTGGTTTCTAAATGCATCCTAGGTACTGCCCTTTGGGCTTATCCTTGGACCAACTCTTTTTTAAAAAAAAAAAAAAATAACTTTTTTCTGATCTTTTTAGCAAAGGGGAGGGAAATTTTAACCATATACATCCAACATTGAAGATCAATGTAGATATTAATTAGGTTAAAATTTAGGAAATTTTTAAAAAAACTAAACATAATAAAATTTCTGCACTACCTCATCAGCTTAAAAGAAGCCAATTATAAGAGTACTAGAAACCTAAATAACTAAGAGGGACAGATTATTGTCAGAGTGCTACTAACCTAAGTGAGTTAAAACTAATTGCTTGTTTGGAAACAATTCGTTTTAAAATAATTTTATTTTTTGTATGAAAATGAAAATGAAAATGTTTTTAATCTCAAATAAAAATCATTTTTAAAAATGTGTTTGGTAGTTTTATTAATAGATTATTTTCAGTGTAAAAAAATTCATTAATGTTTCTCTTTCTCTCTCTGCTTGAGAGAGGAGAAAATAAAAATAAAAAATGAAAAAGAAAAATGATTAAAAGTCGGCCATATTTGGAATTAATTTCGTTTTTATTTTTTATGTTTTTCAAGAAGAAAAAAAAATAAAAAAGTTCTCAAAACGGCATTTGGCGCAATAAAGACAAAAAATGAAAATGAAAACGATTTTTTAGTTTAGTGTAAAATGAGAGAAATGAAAAACGACTTTTAGTCGTTTTTTATTTTTTATTTTCATTTTCTTCTCTCTCGAGTAAAGAGAGATAAAGAGAGGCGTTAATGAGTTTTTTTATATGAAAACAATCTCTTGATAAAACTAGCAAATTTATTTTTAAAAATGATTTCTGTCTGAGATTGAAAAAGTTTTTATTTTTATTTTCATATAAAAAACAAAATTATTTTGGAACGAGTTTTAAACGCGCCTATCTCATTTTTTATTTCTCTCTTATTTTACACTAAATCAAAAAAATTATTTTTATTTCTATTTTTTGTTTTTATTACGTCAAATGTCGTTTTAAAAATATTTTTATTTTTTCTTTCTTAAAAAACATAAAAAATAAAAACGGAATCAATTTCAAACACGACGTAAAAGTTCATGACCATGTGCACATGGGTCTGCCATATGGGAAACAATCCTCTAATGCAATTGTGACTTCGGACAATGAAATGTAGCCATCAAAATACTAAAATCCACGAGTCAAACGACCTTTGACTTACTGGGTGCATGAATGCATGCGTGTTTGATAATTATGAAAGGAGAGTTTGTTGGTATGGTACCAAAGGAAAAAAAAAAAAAAAAACTAGTTATTGATCAGTTATCTTCAGATTTGCTTACTGTTTGATTTCATTTGAATTATGATGTCATTTTGATATTTGATCCACTGTTTGGTGCCAGAAGCTCGGCGAAAACATGTCTCAATGACAAAATTACGTTGTGATCAGCAAAAAAATCAAGAGTTTAATGGAAATTATCTGCCAAAAAGTTTGAGAATTCCACACTAGGGTATTTGAAATAAATAAAATTAAATTAAAAACTGTGTAAGACTCTGTCTTGAACTCTATATCAAAGTTTTGTTAGTTATATATATATATATATATTTTTAATTTTGACTTAATTTTGATTGGATTTAACTATTGTTTATGTAGTTATGGGATATTTCAACACCGATGGTGATGAGTACAACACACTAATAAAAAGTGAGTCTTATATTATAGGATTTATAAATTAAAGATACTTTATATGAACTGCGGTGCTTAGTACTAATAATATGTTAAATTCAAATTTTCTATTCAAACCTAAAAAAAAAAAATAACAACCTCCACTGTTTATTAATTTTTTTTATTCAAAAGGAACAAATTTGAGTCTCTGTCTTTCTTAATTTTTTCTCTCCCCTTAAAACACAAATCAGGTGAAAGTACTAAAAAAAAAAAATAACAACCTCCACTGTTTATTAATTTTTTTTATTCAAAAGGAACAAATTTGAGTCTATGTCTTTCTTAATTTTTTCTCTCCCCTTAAAACACAAATCAGGTGAAAGTCTTCCACATGACACCTGATACATATGAGTTTGCTTGAAAAGGAAACACACAAAAATGTGTAAAATCAACTTTACTTGCAATGGACGTTTTTTAAGAAAAGAATATGTCATTCCATTTTTTGTTTACCCCTCAAATAGCTAACGTTTTTTGCCTTGTGAAACGTGGACGCTTTTTTTTTCTTCTTATTTTTGTTCTCTCTTTGCTTGAATTAACGTGTCTGATTATTGAGTAATCCATTGTCAGCACTTCCAACGAGGAGAAGAAATAATAATTAAAGGAAACGAGAAACAGTAGAAAAACGTCAAATAATTCCTTAAAAAAGTAATACAAAATAATAAAGGAAGGTAAAACTTCTAGGGTCCGTTTGGTAGAGGGATTCGTTCTCTGATTTGAATTATGATTCATGATTCGTTACAGTATTTTTTCTATACAAAATTTACGTAAATCGAAAATGATTCAAATCATATGGTTTGAATCCTCTAATCAAACGTCCTCCTAATCTAATGTGGAATTAAAACAGCACATGTATGTATATATTTTTTTAAATATATATAAATATTTAAATAAATTATAAATATTTTTTTCACCTTATACATATTTTAAAAGAAAATATATATACTTTTAAAAGAAAATATTCATATTTTTTTTAAAAAAATACCTCTAATCAAACATCAAATTCCTAAAAAGGAAAAGAAAAAGAAGTAGAGTTAATTTTTTTTGTTTCTTGAAAAAAATTAAATTCGACAATAGATTAGCCTTTTATATTTCTTTCTTTTCGTAGCAAAATCTCTACCACCTTCTCTCTCTCTCTGAAACTCAAGAAGAAGAAGAAGAAGAACAAGAAGAAGAAGAGGACGACGACGGCGACGATGCGTAGGATCTCCGTTGCTCCGGCGACCGCCGTGCTTTTGCTCGTTAGTCTCCTCAGCATTTCCTCCGTCTACTCTTTCTACCTCCCCGGCGTCGCTCCTCGCGATTTCCAAACTGTACGCTCTTCATTTCTCGCACATTTTCTCATTACTTTCCCTTTTCTTTTTTCCTGTGTCTTCTTCCGAGAAAATTCTCTGGCTATATGTCGATTATTGTTCTCGAGCTCTTTGTTGCGGATTTTCATAGTCTTCGTACTTCGATGATTTTGTTTCTTTTCACTTAAGCAGAGTTGGATCTAGGTTTTTATGTTTGATCTGGTTTTGGTTAATTTCAGATCTGTGGTATTTGTTTCGTGTATGGATTCGATGGCTTTGGGTTCGGAGTGGTTGGGAATTCCTATTTGCAGCTTAGTTTTGGGGTTTGAGTAGCTATAATCGATTCTGATTTTTTGATACTGCCTTCTAGTTTTGGGTTGAGAACTTGATTTCCTAGTCGTGCTTTACTGTTTGCTTGCTCGAGACATGATTTGTTTCTGATTAAATTAATTATTTTTCTGGTGTAAAGGACCTGTTTTGGGGCTGCTTAGAACAGTTTTGTTTCTTTATGATTGAGAGAAACAGACGGCGAGAATTTCAGCTTTTTATGAAATGATAGAAGTTGAAATTGTAGCTAAATAATAGCAGAAGTATGATACAATGGGAAACCCAGAGAACATTTGAAATTCTGAAAGCAGATAATTGCGCAATATGTGTCTTTGCAATAAAAATGAGAAAAAAAAATCTTAACTTCTGGGTCTTTTAAGATGTGGGGATACTGATATATAAGGATGACCAAGATCTCATTTGATTTATCTAGGATGGCTTTTGCTTTCGGCAAGATCTTATTTTGATTACTTGATTTCCATTTTACTCTTTTATGGTATACGTTATCCTTATTTTTCACATTGTTGTCCTCTTCTTGGATAGGGCGACCCACTGTATGTCAAAGTGAACAAATTATCGTCTACAAAGACGCAACTCCCATATGACTATTACTACTTAAAATATTGTAAGCCCAAGAAGCTTGTGAACAATGCAGAAAATTTGGGAGAGGTGCTCCGGGGTGACCGCATCGAGAATTCTGTATACACTGTGTGTATCTTGATCCTTTCCCCATTTTTTCCATCTATAGAAAATCCATTTTTATATCAAATCTAATTATCTACCTTTTGTTTGTTAATAAACTGATGAATTATATCATAGTTCAAAATGAGGGAGGAGCAATCGTGTGCAGTGGCTTGTAAGATAAAGCTTAATGCTGAAGCTGCAAAAAATTTCAAGGAAAAAATTGATGATGAATATCGAGCAAACATGTAAGTGATAATCGCAATGCCCAATACTTGGTCATAATTAGGGCCTCATTCATTTCGTTTGTTTGAGTTAAGAACTTGAATTAAAAAGTAAATTCATGTGAGAGAAAACACTGTAGCAAAAAAAATTGAATTTGAATTTTTTGTGAGAAAAAATACTACAACAAAAATTTGAATTGTAATTCAAAGTTCAAACTAGTGAAACGAATGGGGCTTAGGTTTTTTTGTGTAGCTTTTACAAATGATATTGCCATAGGATTATTCCTCAGTAACATTACTTAGACTACATGTTTTTAACTGAGAGTTCTGACGTGGACATGCAGGATTTTAGATAACCTCCCAGTGGCTGTTCTGAGAAAAAGAGCGGATGGAAGTCAGTCAAAGACTTACGAACATGGGTACCGTGTTGGGTTCAAAGGAAATTATGCTGGGGTATGCTTCTTCTGAATACAGTTTCCACTATAATGCTTCAAACGCTTTCACGCTTACGATATGTACGTTTTTATTTGTTTGTTCAGAGTAAAGAAGAAAGATATTTTATCAACAACCACTTGAGCTTCCGAGTCATGTATCACAAAGACCCTGAAACTGATTCTGCTAGAATTGTTGGGTTTGAAGTTACTCCGAACAGGTATTGTAGAAATAGCCTGGTGTCAGTTTGTTCCAAAATAACTATGTTATTGCTCTTTTATCCATCTTCTCACTCAACTTCTGTAAGCAGTATCAATCACGAGTATAAGGAGTGGGATGAGAAGAATCCTCAGTTGATAACATGCAATAAAGACACCAAAAATTTACCACCTGGTAGTGCCGTTCCGCAAGAGGTTGATGCAGATAAGGAGATTGTATTTACATATGATGTTTCCTTTAAGGTACGTTCTAATTAAGCTCTTCCCGTTCAGTGCTAATATTTTGATCCAGGGCTTGTTCATTTCACAACTCAAGTTTTATTGCTACAGTATTTTCTCTCACAAAAATTCAAATTCAACTTTTCTGCTACGGTGTTTTCCTCTCACATACACAACTCAAGTAATAACTCAAGTTGTGACTTGAGTTGTGATATGAACATACTACCAGTTTATATGCTACTAAACTAATGTTCTCCTTTCCTATCCAAAAGGAAAGTGATATCAAATGGGCATCTCGTTGGGACACATACCTCCTTATGAATGATGATCAGATACACTGGTTCTCCATAATAAACTCTCTGATGATTGTCCTCTTTCTGTCTGGCATGGTGGCTATGATCATGATGAGAACTCTATACAAAGATATTTCCAACTACAATCAGTTAGAAACCCAAGATGAGGCTCAGGAGGAAACTGGATGGAAACTTGTTCATGGAGACGTTTTCAGGGCACCAATCAATTCTAGTTTACTTTGTGTCTATGTCGGTACAGGTGTTCAGATCTTTGGAATGACACTTGTAACCATGATATTTGCATTACTGGGTTTCTTGTCTCCTTCCAACCGAGGTGGCCTAATGACTGCTATGGTCCTCTTGTGGGTTTTTATGGGCTTATTTGCTGGTTATTCCTCTGCAAGATTGTACAAAATGTTCAAGGGCACAGAATGGAAGAGGAATACTTTGAAGACTGCATTTATGTTTCCTGGTATACTTTTTGCCGCCTTCTTTGTCCTGAATGCACTGATTTGGGGGGAACAATCTTCTGGAGCGGTGCCTTTTGGTACAATGTTTGCCCTTGTCTGCTTATGGTTTGGTATATCAGTTCCGCTGGTATTTGTGGGTAGTTATCTGGGCTTCAAGAAACCAGCCATTGAAGACCCCGTAAAGACTAACAAAATTCCTCGGCAGATACCAGAGCAGGCGTGGTACATGAAACCAGTTTTCTCTATTCTTATTGGTGGAATTCTTCCATTTGGGGCCGTTTTCATCGAACTCTTTTTCATCTTGACATCAATATGGTTGAACCAGTTCTACTACATCTTCGGATTCCTTTTTATCGTGTTTGTTATTCTCTTGATCACGTGTGCGGAGATAACAATCGTTCTCTGCTACTTCCAGCTGTGCAGTGAGGACTACCACTGGTGGTGGAGATCATATCTAACTGCTGGTTCCTCTGCTCTCTACCTTTTCCTCTACTCAGTCTTCTACTTCTTTACGAAGTTGGAAATAACAAAGTTTGTCTCAGGTTTCTTGTACTTTGGGTACATGATCATTGTCTCGTATGCTTTCTTTGTCCTCACTGGAACAATTGGCTTCTATGCTTGCTTCTGGTTTGTTCGGAAGATCTACTCCTCCGTGAAGATCGACTAATCTGGAAGACGGATTAAAAAAAGATGACAGGAAATTTTCCCTATGAGAAGGATTGCTTTCTAGACAGCTTTCTCCTTATAAAGATGATAGGAAATTTTCCCAGTCTCTAAAAACATTCTATTTTTTGTGATGGTAGCTTAGGGCTTGGCATGTTGTTTCGACTAGGAAATTGTAAGATGTTTTTGAACTGTACTTAGTGGTGTTTGTACAAGATATGCTTAAACCTTCATCTAGATGTCCTGTTACTTCCATATGTCCTACACAACCCAAACATTTACTTCTCTTAACACTCAGCAATTTGATTAGAAGCAATTAACTTTTTGGAAAAAAAAAAAAATCCTGTTTGTAGATTTCTACCCCACCCAATTACATGAAGTTCTTACATTCATCGTAATACAAAACAAAATATGCTTACCATTTTCTAATGGACATCCCTTCAATTAAGTAACTAGATCTTTTGTTCCCTACTAGGTTTTTGTTTTTTGTTTTTGGCTGAAGCTCGTTTGTTCTCCAGTGGAAAGGGAAAGGGAAATGGAATTGTTGCTTCATAATCTCGTGAACTTGTCCCGCTTCACCTTCAACCTTGTCGTTTTCGTATTGTGGAAATACTCTCGAGGACAGAATTTCCTCAGTTGCCGACAATTAGTGCAGTAGTGGTTGGGCAAAAGTCAAAAATGATTTTGAGAAAAGATGCCCAATAAAAGACCTAGCTGCTTTACCCTGTGGGGTGCCAAGCAGTACATGTAACATGACAACAAATTAGAGGATTAAATTTCAATTTTGGCCCCAAAAATGCTCACTTTACTCTCTAAACAAGTATCACAACTCACACTAGTGGTCCCGAACTTTACAAATGTTACACTTTCAATCCATCCCTTACAAAACCGTTAAAAAATAAAAATAAAAAAATTTATCATGAGGTGCACATGATGCTTTTAATGAGTAATTTGGTAAAACTAATATATTAATTTTAATTTTGATCTTAAAGAATACCGAGTGTCTCACTTTCTGCCTTAAATTTTCAATGTCACACTAAAGTCCCTAAGCTTAAATAAAAAAGGTTTAGCTTTTGGAGAACAAATATTGTTTTTTAAAACAGAATTGCTTTCTAATGGCATCACCATACCCCAACATAAATAGCTAATGCAAATATGAGGATGTCGACATTTTTTTTTCCTTCTTCTTCGATAACTGGTATATCTTCATTTGATGTATAACTTTTACATAAAAAACTAGTATTCAGTCAACATATCTAGAAAATTAGGTTATATAACTTTTTGGAAGTCCAAAACTCAACCCAAGAAACAGGGAACAAAGAAATGCATCTGAGCCTTCTATGCACTGTAAATTGTCAAGTTAATCGCTCAAAAAGTCCAAAACCCATTAATCTATCCTCCAGAGAGGAAGAACACTGCGGTACTCCACGCACTGAAGCTTGGATTTAGTAGAGTTTCTGCATTATGAAATAGCTGCTCTCAACCTCGAATGAACCCGATACATGGTTAGGCAATGTAACCGAACTATGAAATTCTGGGAGAGCATATGAAGAGTTCAACCAACTCGGAGTCGAATTAGCAGAAGGCCCGAATTCAGCAAAACTGGGTACACAACTTTCAGCATTGGAACAATAAATTATCTTCCATGGAAAAAAAAATGCTGAAAACAAAAATGACCCCACAGAAAGAATTCATTATTATACCAAAGAACCACAGGAAGTTGAAAGAATTACGACAGTACAAGGTTTTGAGTGTTGGATATACGTACTGCTGAACTAAAAACGATGAGTATGATTAGCAAGTCACTCTAGATCAGCTTGAGCATGGTCTCAATTTCCCATTTCTCTGCCTGCATATTGTCAAGGAAGATGGCGCAATTAGTAAACCACGCTAACAAAACAGATAAAGGGATGAGGATGAAATCAGGGATAAAGAATTGATAAGCAAACCAGAATGAATCTTTCTTTTCTTGTGCAAGCAACTCTTCGAAAGAAATGCCCGAATATTCTGTATCCGAGCTCTCCATCAACTCTCCCGATTTGGCTTTCATCTCCATGCTAGTGCCAATTTCAAGCATCTAAAACATGAAGCAGAAAAGTTTGGTTCGTACAGTAGATTCCATAATGAAAACCAAAAGCTTCATCTTGGTAAATAAATGGGGAAGAAAGAGTTCTCAAATAATGGGATACAAAGGAGCCAGTCTTCATGAATCTTCAGACTTAAATAAGCAACTTCTATAAGTAGCTTTTCAAAAACTATGAAGAAACTCCATAATATATTGGCATTATCTAATAAGGGAGAAAAAGTACCTTCTTGTATGCTGGTGAAAGTTTAAGTTGTTGTTGGAGCCAATTATAAACAAAGGCATCCTCTTCCAGTCTCTTTTGTTCTAATTCCAGTTTATATATCTGAAATATGAATGAACAAACCAATTAAAACAAACAAGATGTGCAATAGGGAAAATGCAATATTTCTTCACTAACAAATTCCAAAACATTGTTGTATTATAACCTGTTGACGAAGACGATCAAAGGAAGACCTGTCGGCCTTGAACAGTAGAGCCTTTGTTATTGTGAACTTGCGCTGGATGACATCAGCCCTTCCACAGAAAAAGATACCAAGTTAAAATCTTAAAGCCACATTACAAAATTGAGGCTAAAAAGAAGCAAGTTGTAGAACAGAGACACAAGGACAAGGGTCAAAAGAAAGTTGAAAATCTGAACTTTGCAAACGACAACCATTTTGGCAAAGAACAAAAGAATCATGTTTAATGCTTGCAGGGATTTATATAGTACATAACAGTTCAAAAAAATAATAAAAGGGAAAAGATTTCATGGCATACTTGTGCTGTAACTCATTTTTAGCCTCCACCAAACAATTAGCAAACTGTCCGACCTGCATGTGTGGAAACATTGAGGATTACGACATTGTAGGCTATATGTCTTAACCACCTTATGCAAGCAATTGTCATTACCCAAAAGAAAAACTAAAAAAGAAAACCCAGCAACAAGAGAAGTCATTTAAAGGTAATTCAATCAGACTAGGGGAACGAATCAATCTCCCTCAAATTTCACCTTTTATTTTCAAACTAAATTCCAGCTATTGTAATGTAGTATCGAAAACTTTTCTTTTCCATAACAATGTTCAAGTCCCCCTAAACTTATAAGTTAACAAAAAGACAAGTCTATAAATAAGCTTTTGGTAAAGTTTTCAGACTTTCTAATGCGAGACTGAAACAAAAGCCTTCCAGCAAAGCAGAAAAAAGAAAATAGTTGCAGCTCCATCGAGAGATTGATTATTTTCATAGTCTCATTCTTGATATCATAGCGGGAAGGATTCTAATCGGCCAACGGGTCCACTTACATGACATTTAAAACTCTTTCCTTGCCATTTCTTCCTACCTCTCACTTCTTCAAAATCTAGAATTTAATGGCAAGAACCACAGAATTCTAGCTTTTAGAAGTAAAATCACACTTAATCTCTCCAAACTGTATCATTTCATATAACCCTACATTACAAAAGATTTACAAACCCCACAATCTTCCTTGTGATTTCTTTCTACGAAAAAAATCTTTTCTAGCTTATTCCAACTTTCCAAATACACGTCCATAACTAAGCTTTTCCCCTTTCTCTTTACACAATACTAAACAATGAACAAAGGAACAGCAATGTTTTGTTTTGTTTTGTCTTTTTTGTTTTTTTTGTTTTTTTTTTTTTGGGATGAAACAGCAGTGTTTTATGTGCACAAGAAAAGAACGGAATAATCTCATTATCTTTACATAGTAAGTTCTTAGTCTCTACTCTCTAGCAAGAAAACCAAGAGAGATTATTATTAAACTAGTTACTCTCCAATGCTATACTTCAAATGTTCATAAAAATTTTAAAAAAACAAATCATCACAAGATTTCATAACATAATTCGTTACAGCTAAAATTCAACAAGATCAATTTTTTATGCTTCCGCAGATACTATAAAACCAAAACTGAATGGCAACAATGAACACCATATATATATATATATAGAAGCACCTGAGCAAGTGTCAATCCCTTGGAATGGTGACACTTCATGAGCTCATCATACTGTTGCTTGATCTTCCTCTGCGTCAAACTACTTGACGATGTAAACGGGTACAAACAAACCAGCTCCTCCTTGCCCTGACAACCCGGACCCGAATTTCCCTCTTCGCCTTTGGGGTTCGCGCTCTTCTTCTTGTTCCTCTTTTTCTTCTTCTTATATGCTCTCTGATCCCCACCACCCGCCCCATCCCTTTCCTCCATAAAACCCGACCCGGAAGAATCCGAATCCTGGTTGCCCGTTCCGCTCTTGAACAGGGTCTCCCATTTGGGAGAATCGGAGGGCAAAATCTCCAGAAGCAGAGAACGGGTCAAATGGGCCGAGTCGTTTTCGTGTGCTTTACCCGACGGGTCGCTCTCGGTCTGCGTTTGGGTCTGGGTCTGGTGGGTCGGTTGTTGCTGAACTTGCTCTGTTTTTCGGTTGGATTTTCCGTAGATGGCGAAGAAGACGAAGAGAGAGAAGGATGTGATGAAGAAGAAGAAGAAGCAAAAGGAGAACATGGGTGTGTGAATTTGGGAAAAAAAGCGGTGTGTTGAGATTGAGAAATTAGAAACAAAGGTTGGATAATATGAATGTGAAGCCGCCATTGAAACGCGTCATTTACAGTGAAAAATACTCTCTTTTTTTTTTTTTTATTTGCTGGTATTAGTATTGCTTTGGCAAATCTAAAACTGGGTGCGTTTGTTTGCGGGCTTTTGAGTTTAGATAGGTTTTTTCTTTTTCTAAAAAATAAAAAATTTATGAATCTAAATTTTTATTCATTATTTTAATAAATATTATTTTATTAATATAATTATTTAATTAAAAAAATTATAAATTATAAATAAAAATCTTAATTCACTCATTTTTAAAGAGTATTTATCAATTTTTTTGTCCCTAGTGAGTGAGCTAAAAAGTAAGAGAAATGCTTCTGTTTACTTTAGTTTAGTAGTCACCTGCTTTTAAGGTTCTGTTGGCGATTTGTGTCTTTTTAATTGGGTGTGTGTGAACTATAAGAGCACTTCCACATTACGTGTGAAAAACGAGATTTTTTTAATTAATGTAATAATAATTATGTACACACAAAAGTAATTAATTATCTCCATTGCTCAACTCACTCACGGTTTTCAGGTGAAATTTGTTTATTTATATAAGGTTTTTCAATTTTTGAGTTGAAATTGCACCGTTCGATTTTAGTATAGAAGTTTGCATAACATATTTATATTTTAAGGGTTTTTTTTTTTTTTTTGGGAAGACACTTTTGGAGATAAATGAGGTGCTTTTATATTCCAAAAAGAAAAAAATTGAAACAATGAGTTGGAATTTGGGATTAATATTGCTCCATAGTGCAAATCCTTCCATCAATGACTTTGCTTTCTTTTTTTAGAAAAAAAAAAAAAAGAAAGAAAGATATGATGATGATTTTTGCTACAAAAGATAAGATGATGATTAAAGTTGATATAGTTGTACTTTTCCTTTTTGAGAAACAACCGTATAAAATCAGTTCCAAACTCCAGAGACGCAAGGGATATTGCGTTGTTGTAGATTACTTGATTGTATTTGTCACCTAGTTTAATGCCCTATTATAAGGTTCTAATATTTGACCATTGAATGCGCCATATAATTGTTCAACTCCGTAAATTTTTAGTTTCATTCTTTTTAACACGTTCTAAGGGCACCATTTCATCTTCGTTAATGTCATCTTCAACTAATAATATATCACTATAATAATAATGCTAAAAAAAAACTAATAATATATCACTAGTCTAAATGGCGTAGTGACCTTCCTCTAACTGTAATGGGTCAAATTTGTAGTAACCAACGAAGCTACGCATTAGTAATTCACCCCCAAAAAAAAAAAAAAAAAAATAGTCACAAGTGACATTTTGTTGTGACACAAGAACTTGGTGAATTCAATTTTCTAGTCTTAAAAATTGTATATTATCCATCTACAAACAATTCACATCACAGGATACTAAACGGCAGAGATTTAAGTAATGCCGAATGGGAAACCAAAAAATGACAAAAACATTAAAGAATGCACGCTCCAATTGGTGCAGGCAGTGGAAATGGGGATATAAGTACGAGTCTAGTGCACAAATTTATCGTAATTTTTCAACTTCAATATTCAAAATTTATAAATTCCAACTTAAACTTCACACATTATCATATTCCTAAGTTCGTAAATTTTAACGTAAAATTTACAAATTATCATATTTCCGGCACAGTATCTCTGCACCATAAAAGTTCCCTATAAATGCTCCTCAGTGCCTGAATCTTGCTCGATATATCAAAGACAATGAGCATGGAATTATTACTTCGGATACTTTTCTACAAGAACAAGCAATGGAACAATTGCTCCCAACAAGTTGCACAAGAATGAAACCTTAAAATTACTGGAAGCCAGAAGCTTTCCATAATCTGAAAACTAAAAGAATTTCTACACATGGACTCCTTCGGTGTCGTCTCAATGTGCATCCGACCACACTTCTCTTTTCCACCTTTCTATAACATGAAGGGAACAAATCGAAACGATAGCAAGTATGTACATACAGCTTTACTCACAATCATCTTCAAGAGCTCTTTAGGCTTTCAACCACGTGGGTGTGTTGCATATGTTTTGTACAACTTCACCTAGGAAAAAAGCCAACGAATGGTTGCAATGGCCTTACATGTATATAGTAGATTAACTTACTGCAAAAATTAACTGAAGTTGCTGTATTGCAAGCAGTAGAGAAAACAAAATGAGGCATTTCGTTTGGATGTTCGGAGTCATCAAGTGCAGATGGCCTCCACAGAGAGTTTTTTCATGACACTAGGACATGGATCACCTCCAAACATTTCGGCTGCTACAGTCACCGAGCAGGAGTTCTGCCCAACGCAAAGCTGCGGGAAAGCAATTAAACCACATAAACAATTATGCAGAAAGGAAAAAGAAGGTAGGATTGCCACAACAAGACCCAAAGTTGATGCAGGAAAGCAATTAAACCAGATAAACAATTAAGTAGAAAGGAAAAAGAAGGTAGGATTGCCACAACAAGACCCAAAGTTGATGCAAGATACAATTGCATACCCTTTCAAAAGCATCATATGAATGGTGAGCATGACAGCTTCCTTCGCGGAAACTTCCACAAGCCCCTTCTGGTGTTCCAAAGCTAGCAAACTTTATCTTTGAAATTTTCTGCCCGGCCCCACAAGACAAATGTGCTTTAGGCCTCAAAGGTTTATCGACTTTACCCGAGGATTGCATTTGCCAATTCATTAGCGTTGGTTGCCACTCATAGATATCAGCACACACAGTATCAACATCCCTTCTAACCAAAAAGACTCCATTGGGGTCTCCACCCCATTCTTCAAACACCACCAACAAATTGCCTGTTGGCTTAAGCCATGATTTGGGAACATGGTACCTGGAATAATTAAAAATAGTCGGTTTTGTTAAGCTTACACAAAAAATATCAAAAGACCAAGATAAAGTTCCAGTTTTCAATTACCATCTTTGTGAAGCATCCCCACAGTTACTTAAACATTTCTTTTCATTGTACGTTCCCGCATAGTCACAGCCACCGCAACTGCCCTGTGCTTTGTAAGCAGGCCAGTAACGACCAAGACTTTGACCATTAATCCATATTTGACCTTTTCCCATGCTGCCCATATCTAAAGCTAAGGGTGCATATCCAGCCGGAGCATCAAAACTTGTCTGCAACCAAAAAGATGTCAAAATCAAATCTGTTACCGTGGAAGCTCTAACAAAAAATCTGAGTAGTTTTTCTATCATCTTGGATAAGTAACCAATGAGGTTTCTTTAAGTTTGAGATACTCACTTTAAACCATGTCAAAGGTTGCTTCCGCGCTACTAGGGACCCTTGAATCCAGTCAACAGAAGAACTCCCAGTGAGGGAATGAAGACTCAAGGCTTCTCCTCTAAGACCAACCTGATGAGAAAAACATACCGTTAAATGCATTTCTAGCATCTAAGGGAAATGAGAGAAGTCAAAAGAAAACCGACCTTATAAGACCATTTCTGCCATGACAAGTCTCTTCTACCCTCATTGAGACCATTCAATGTAACTGGACCAAGAACACCAGCATTCCACGTCTCAAAATGTGGACCGACATTCTGAACTCAAATCAAATGTAAGCAAATTTCAGGTCTAAACTGCCATGGGAATACAAATATGACCTTAAGAGAAGGAAGAGAAACACAGAGAGAGAGAGAGAGAGAGAGAACAAACCGGAAGACCAACAGCAATACTTAGAAGTGCAATTGTGTTGATACCAGCTCTCAAGTTCACGCCCTTACTCAATGTTAATTTCGGGAATTCTAAACTTCCATAAGAAGTACCTGCCAAAAGTTTAAGAAATCGCACGTTAAAACTAAGTAATATCACAAAATGATTAGACCAGAAACACCTTTTAGCCAAAACAATAGTCTACTATTAGCTGAAAAAATAAAAAAGATTTATGCCTATTATGTTTTCAATGAAGTGCCAAAAATATGATGGCTAGTGCCTACCTGCTAGTTGGCCATTGACAAAAACATGCAAAGCATGACCGGCTGATGAGACTGTTAGTACTGGATATTTCCCGCTTCTCAAAAATTCTTCACTGGGGTCAATCTTAACACTGGGAATCACAATGGAATCAAGACAGAAAATGTCATAATCCGTGAAAAACACTTTCTTAGATGCAAAAGGGTCAGAGCATGTTTATGTTACTCACTCTGTCATGTACCACAGATAATCAGAAGCATCTCTGGTGGTATTTATCTGCTCCAGCAACCCAGAAACGGTGAATGAAGTTTCTTCATAAGAGGCTGTCTGTTCATTGTATGCCTGCCAAGATAATCCTCCATGTATAGGAACACGGGTCATTTTCATCGTTGAACTTTGTGCGCCAACCTGTATAGTATATTGGTAAAAATATCAGTTTCTTTCTATAGATCAAAACACGCCATGACGTTAATAAAAAATCATATTCTCTAACCCTTGCAGTGTTGTACACCGTGTTTTCGCAGTCAGGTAGAATGCTGATAGACCAAGGAGGCAAATTGTAATGCATATTCCCAAAGGAAACTTTTGCAAACGAATTTGGGTTGTAATTTGCAAGGAAAGCAGCACAAGCTCCGGATTTTGATTTAAATACATGAGCCTGAAACGTTACAGTGGTTTCAAAGAGTAAGCCTTTTACAGTGGTTTCAAAGAGTAAGCCTTACTTCCATACAAAATTTGTAAATCATAATCTTCTCTTACAGAACTAAAGTCCAACCTGTTCATAGTTTCCAAGTTGTGTTACTGTGGGATCTCCAGATACTAAAGCTGGTTCACACAGTTTTATTGCTCTGTGCAAATCTTTTAAATGACCCCATTTAGGTTGCCTCAAAAGTCCTACATAAAAAAGGGGGGAAAATAGGAATAATCAGATTTTTAAGCTAAACACAAAGAAACTAGGATTTTCACTCTTCACTAATAATATTCATAATTTCATATTTCATATTCAATAGTAATTTCCAACGTCCAATATTTTCTGGACTGGACGTACCATATTCATCTAGAGGTGCATCATAATCATAGCTAGTAGCAATGAACGGGCCACCAGCAGTTCGGCCGAAATTTGTTCCTCCATGGTACTGTAATAATGAACACAAGAGAATAAGAATAAACTGAAAAAACTTATCAAGACATTCATTTTTGAAAGGCAATTAAGATGAACATCATCAGTACCATGTAATAATTAATGAAAGCCCCTCCCTTCTGTATAAACCTAGCAACTGCAAAGGCCAAGTCTTCTGCTGGTCTTTTAGGAACTGGACCACCAAACTCAGTATACCTGTATGCAAAACAAGGTAAATAAAAGATATAAAAGAAAGGAAAAAAAAACAAAAAAAAAACAAAAAAACAAAAAAAAACAATTATATAGTTCCTAAAGCAAACAATCATGAAAATTTACCAGGCAGTCCACGCTTCAGTCCACATTTTAGGTTTATAAGCCTTGTTCGGAGAGAAGTAATCACAATAGAATCCATTGCAGGCATTGATCTGTTGCAGGGTAGGGAGAAAAAAAAAAGAATAAAAAAAGAGAGCCAACAATTTAGATATATATATATATATATAATATGTATATTTATTTATAATTAATTCATAAACACTGCACTAGAACTAGAAATACGGCAGACTCCAAGATAAGTTAAGGGTTTGAGATTTATTTATTCATAGGCGCCACACTAATTTTAAAAGGATACTTCATTAAACAAAGAAGTCCTTTTTTAGTGGAAAAAAGAAGCTCAGTAAGTTACCATCAAGAAAAAAGCTCTCCAAATGCCAGAAGGGAATTAAATAATAGCAAAAGTGCAAGAGACATGAGAGTGAAACAGGAAAGCACGGCCATGTGCAATGAGAAATAATAATTCATTTCACCCCTAAAAAAAGAAATAATTATTCATTTCATACACGAGAGCAACATGGAGACACCACATCACTTCAGAAACAACCCCACTAAGGCTGAAGCACCTTAAATCAACAAAACAATCAATTTGTACCCAAAATAAAAAGAAATCATAATAATAGTAACAATCAATTTGTACAACATAAACATGGCAAAAAAAAAAAAAAAAAAAAAAAAAAAAAAAAAAATTTAAAAAAAAAAAAAAGATGAAAAAGTTGAAAGATACTTACAATGGGATCAGGGGCGTCATCTTGTTTACACATAACCCAAGGCACACCGGTGCCAAGTCCAACAGCCATATGAGCTGCCCAATTTGAGTATGCCTTCCCAGGAGCTCCAAGTTCATATTCCATTGGACCATATTCATTTTCAATCTATCACACAATACATAAAAAATAAATAAATAAATACTTGATTTATAATGTAATGCACCCAAATGGTACTTGAGAAAGGCTAGAAAAAATGGGGCACTTCTTATTAGACAAACCTGGGATAAAATTATTGGACCACCTTCACTGGCAAACAGCCTTTCTGCTTTCATCATGTTCACAATCTTTCTTGTGAATTTTTCCATTTGGGCCTTCATTATGGCAATTTAGAAGTCAGGTTTAAGCAGAGTTAAAGATTTGATTTCTTTATATTAAAATAGTAATAATAATAGGAAGAAATGTAAATAGACGATTAAAGTTTCCAAACCTTGAAAGGTCCATTGTCTGTTCTAAATCTGATACCGGGAATGTACTTCAACCACACAGGAAAGCCTCTGCAAATACGCGTATAACTTTAGGTTAGCTTCAAATAATCCAAGAAATACCCAAAAGTGAAAAAAAAAAAAAAAAAAACTTTGTTTTTAATATATTTATATTATTATTTTTACCCAAAGTTCCATTCAGCGCAAACATAAGGACCAATCCTGAGATGCATATAAAGGCCTGCTTGCTGAACCAGCTTGACAAACTTAACCAAATCATAGTTTCCCTCAAAATAATACTGCAAAAAGAAAATAAAGATTAGAACTTAAATGATAAAAGTTGCATGTTCCGAAAAAACTAGGCACGTAATTTACAGAAAAAAAAAATACTTTTCCAGGTGAAGGTTCATGCCCATTCCAGAAAACATAAGTCTGAATCACATCTAGACCTCCATCTTTAGCCTTCTGAATAAGATCTGGCCACATCTAAGAGAAACCAAAAATAAAAAAAAATGAAAAACCTCTTAAGAAAATTCAAAAATGGAAAATAAAGGAGACATTGGAGGAGTAATATTGTTATTAATGTTATATTACCTCAGGAGTGCTTCTTGGGTAATGAATGGATCCAGAAATGAGGATTCTTCTCTGGCCATTGATGACAATAGCCTTTGAATCATAAGAAACAGAGGCTGAAACAGAGCAACCCCAGAGAGAAAACAACACCACTACTAATAGTAAGACGCCATTATTGCGCATTGCAAGCTTCTTCAAGCCCATGACATCAAAACCAAAATGAAAAATCTCTCTTCTTTGTTGAGAAGAGCTCCAACAAAGCAATGCCCTTTTTGGATAAATTTATATTCTTTGTTTCTCACTCACTTTATTCTTTAGAGAGAGAGAGAGAAAGACAAGAAAACCCAGCTGGGAATGTCTTCTCTGCTGCCTTTTACTTTTTCTTTCTTTCTCTGTTCCCTTTTGTTGGTTTTGAGTGGGAATGGAAAGAAATGACTGTGGAAGAGAAAATGAGAGAGAAAGTGAGAGAAAATGGGGGAGAGTTTTCAGACTAATGAGTTAAGTAAGTATGGGGGTGTGCTTAATGGCTGTTTATTTTGGCCAAAATGAAGATGCTTTGGAGCTGCTTTTAAACACTGAGAAATGGAGGTATGTGGGACCCACTTTTCTAAGGTCCTTTTGGGACCCACACTTTGGCCTCACTCACATTGTCCGATGGATCAGTAATATATAATAATTTCCATTTTCCTGCTTAATTTCTTTCTTTTGTTTTAACGGAGGGAAAAAGGAAAGTTGCCTATTTATTTATTTGAGGATAATATTTGTGAAAGTTAATTTAAGGTGGTAATGGCGCGTTTGTCTGTTTGCTAAAAATAAGGGCATTTTGCTTAAAGCGTGTTCTTTTTTTTTTTTTTTTTTTTTTTTTTTTTACCACATGTCATTTTTTTTTTTTTTTTTTTTTTTTTTTTCTTTGAACGCAAGATGAACGTGTTTAGAATTTATTATTTTATTTTTTATATAAAAATAAAAATAAAAACGTTTTTAATCTCAAATAAAATAAAAATGAAAACGAAAATTACCTATTGTTTATTTTCTTTTACTCAACTTAATTTTTGGTGTCTAAAAGGTCAAAATCAATTCCGAATAAGGTAATTAATATTTATTTTTGGTGCAATATTATTACATACGAATCATTAAGGTGATTTCTTAACTTTTTAAACTAAACTTAATTTTAGTGTGCAATGATAGAAATCAAATCCGAATAGCTGTTGGGTATAATTTTGTGGGGCGGTGCATTCACTTATGCCTTAGGCGCGTGACAATGTATCTTTCAGTGTATTTTACCTCAGAATAAATATATGCTTGGGTCGTCAAAAGAGAGAACAATAATAACGTGTACGTCAAAGTCACGGATTAGTAATGTTGGAGTCACCCTAGAAGTCTAGTAGGCTTAACCTCTTTTTTTTCTTTTTTCTTTTTTTTTTTCTTTTTTGACTTGTGGCATTTGTCGAAATAGGACGGAAAAATATCATTATCGGAGCTGGTTTGTTATTTCAAAAAATGTTTGTGCATGAGCACAAATTATTTCATACGAATGTTGTTAATTATAAAATATTCCTTATAAATGATTAAAAAAAATCTTAGCTGGTCAGCTTTTTGCACATATTAATATTGAAAAATGTTAAAAGAGAACTAGTGTTAAATATCATCATTAATAAAAGGTGATTAATCCTACCTTATTTAGCAGGTGGTGACATTTCTCATTATATGAAATATTAATATTAAATAGTCCAAAACTTAAAAAATCCAAACAAAGAATTGGATATTGAAGGGAATGTTTTTGTATTTAAAATAAAGTATTTTAATTTCAATTTTACTATAGTTAAAAATTCTCACAAAAAATTACATTTAATTTTTTCTACTACAGTTAAAAATTCTCACATAAAATTATATTTCAGCTCAAATTAAAAATTTAAATTAACGAACTAAACGAAACCTAAGTCGGTGCTTTTGAAGAAAAACAACTTTTTTTTAACTATTGTAATCATTTTACTTCTTGACTATCTTTTTTTTTTTTCTATCAAGAGACAAATAAACCCATGTACGTATTCCATTGATGCAAAAAATTTCCTTAATTGTTGATAATGATGGTATACCGAGTATCAGTAAAGATCCATAATTTAACATTTACAAAATCATAAATAATTATGATTGAATGCTTTGATTGACACACCGACAAATTTGGTCGAATGCATAGCATAATAACCAAAAAAAAAAACATTTTAAGAAAAAAAAAACTAAGCAAATTTGGTTGATTGTTATGGAGTTTAGTTTTGCAAAGTTGCCAATAGTGGACCAAATGGTTGGTTCAATTACTCCTATACTAATACATGAGTAAACAAAAATGTCGAATACCTCATTTTCGAACCATCTCATCTTATTTGAGGCACGTGTAAAACTAATTACATACTTGGACAATTTGGACTAGTATATATATATATATATATATATATATATGTAGTAACATTTTCAAGAAGTTCATGGATTGAGATGATTACACGATGAGCATATTGAAGAAAAAAATTGTAACATTACTTTTCATAGCAAAAAAAAAAAAAAAACATATTGACAACAAAAATCTGAATTATATGGTCCTGGATGATGGTAATGTTAGGATTTATATTGTATTTGACTTTTATTTTCCTCTGTAAGTTAGCGTGTAATGAGGGCATGAGTAGTAAATGGCTACATATAGTCAATTAAATAAATATGACAGCTTTTTTTTATTGCGATAATTAATTCTACAACTTCCACCGTATTTGCTTAAAACGCAACTACCAAACACTGTTGGACCATCAGATGGTTCTACTTGATTTTTCCTCATTTAATTCGATTAAATACACTTAAAACAATGTCATTGCGATTCATTTTGGTGGTCTAGGGAGTTTTTTTTTTTTTTTTTTTTTCATCTGAGTTTAATTTGCTTAGTCAAAATATTCAACTCAAGTGGTATAATATACAAGGTCTCTTTTATATTTATCTTACGCTCGAGCTTGAATTTGTAGTAATAAATAGATAATCAATGATGAATGTTTGTGAATTAGTAACTTAAAATCAAATCTCACTTTCACCAAGCCCATAAATGGTTTTTACATAATAAAGAGATATAATTATCTCATGTTATGCTTGCGATTTGCGAGGGAAATACTGAATATGAAAAACACTCTAGACCGTATAGAATACTAATACATGTTCTGTTTTGTTTATAAACTATGTATTATAATGATATACTGTAAAGTTTTGGGAAATCTTTCATGTTCAGAAATCATAGTTAATTTTTCTTTTCTTTTCTTTTTTTTCGTGAAGTTAGAAATCATATTGATTGCTTACTTGCCGGAGGGATGGAGAGAAAGGAAAACAAATAAAAAAAATAGTGGATTTTAAACAGTATTCATTGGCATTTTATGTTGCATGTACTATAAATAAGTAGAAACAAAGCAATATATATATATATATCTATATACGTACCTACCGCCCCACATTTCCAAGATTGTTCAACGCCAAAATCTTCATTTTTCTATAGAAACTATCCTTTTTATTTTAATAATAACAAGTATTTTTTTGCGTTCCCATATTATTAATATTCAAGTGTATTTCTGAACGAGAGTTCAGAAATACACTTGAATATACATTGGGTTTTACATATACATTGGGTTGTACGTACCCCATTTGTCAATTAAAAATGGCCAATATTTATACTTGGAACAATATAAAAATGGCCAATATTTATACTTGGAACAATATAAAATTCAAAAAATTTGTTGATATGTTCCCTTAGTGTCGTGGGAAACTAGAACTCTGACGTTTGGTTCATAGATTTAGAATCATTCTCGTTTTACGTGTGTTTTTTATGAGAGAAAACACTGTAGAGAACCATAAATCATGATTCAGAATCAGAGACGAATATAGGAAACAAACATCTCAATCGTCAAAGATGTTAGCAACCTATAAATAAACGCGGTTTCCTATATTTTAATATATTGGGCCATCAATAATTAATTCCAAAACCAGACTAATTAAAAAACTAGCTAGTCTGGTAAATGGAAAAATTTACGGTAAAATATAAATAAAAACATTACTTAATTGCACGTTTTTTATTTCAATGAGATAGAATATTTAAAAATATCTACTGCCATAGAAAATTTCAAACTGGTATTCTTGTTATGTCCAAAGAATAAAAAATTTCCACAAACCATAATAGATACTTGGATAACCCACATAATGGAACATTTTATGAAATTGTTTTAAGCAACCAAAAGAAAAAATTAAAGTGAGAGAAAAAAGTGGGCAAGGATTAGAGAAGGCAGGGAAACTGTGTTTTGAAGCATCAAAAAAGCAGATAAAAGTGAAAAGAGGATGCATATCTTGCACGACAGAACTTCTTATAATGCTCATCATGGCGTTTTTAATGGCCCCAACTAACCATTTTCATTATCCAAAATGTCTTTAACTTTTATTTTAAACAATTTGTGGAGGGCAAATCATGCTTAGATCATGATGTTACATGCATGTGTATATGTTTTTGCCACCGCTTTCTTTGAATAATTAGTCGCCCATGCTAGCTTATTCATTTTTCAGCGTGTTTGAAGCTCGATGTCTTTAAATTGAAAGTAAATCATGGCATTTATTTTCTTGCAATTTTTTATTAATACATTAATATTCTTCTTTATCCAAGATCTAGCATATTCTCTAAACTTTTTTATTTAATATTAAATGGTTAGGTCTCATAAAAGATTAGCACTAATTATAATTAATTATATGATTCATGTAATCACCATATATAATCATGTAATTAGCTTTACCTGTTTTTAAGAATTAATCCTTTGTTAACATAAAATACAAATAATATCTATACATATATTGTCAAACTCTCTAAATTTACCCGAATAGAAACAAAAAGCGCGCGCATTTCAATTACCTTCCCTCCACTACGTCTTCGGCCTTTATTAGGACCTTTCTCCGTTGCAGATGCACCGGACTGCGTGAAGAATTTAAGACTCGTTTAATTTATTGATTTAAATTTTAATTTACGTTAAAATATAATTTTATATAAAAATTTTTTATTTTAATAAAAAAATTAAATGTAATTATTTTTTAAAATTTTTTATTATAACAAAATTTGAATTATAAACTCAAATTAATAAAATGAACGAAATCTTATTAATTTTTAGTGTTGGTGCTTTCAATTTCTTTATTTTATTTTAGTCTTCATTCTTTTTACAATTAAAGTTCTATTATTACAGTATTTTTTGTCATAAAAGTTTGAATTTAATTTTTTTATTATAATATTTTTCTGTCACATTCACAACTCAAACTAAAACTTGAGTTGTGAAACAAAAATACCATTTATTTTTTTCTTATGAAAACGTAAAATATAAATATATTTCTTTCATCTTTTGAGCTGAAATATTTTTTGAAATCATATTTTTTGTTGCTCGAATTCAAGCATTCTTTTAACCTTTTTATACAGGTATTAATTCCGTGCCAACTTCAAAGTCATAAACA